TTAAATGGAGACTACCTTGAAGTGTAAACTTGTTTAATAAACCATATCTTTCATTTTCGATTTTTAATTCACGTAGTCCGGGAACTTTCCGGACACACTGTGTACTTTCATTTATTTTTTAACTACTTATACATTGTTGTCAAGTTTACTATACCAATTTTAAATATCAACTATATTACTCAACACTTTTAATACTAAATACTTTTACTAAATGCTACTTATACAGTTTCCTTTAATATACTTCATTCTGTATCTATAATTGTATTGAAAAGTCGAGAAGCGATAATATATTACTGTTTATTCCACACTCTACAGCTGGTTTTATCATCTCAGAAGTACATCCTGGACCACCACATACTGCAACAAAGAACGAGAAAAAATTGTATAAAATTATGTGTGTGTGTGTGTTAAAAACAGATATAACTAATAAGATATCGTACATCTAACAAACTCTCACACTGATATATATTTAAATATTAATAAATAATGAAAACAATACAAATTTTATATTAAACAAATTAATACACATTTTAAAAAACATAGATTTTCTCAAAGTAGGCAAAAAAAGTAAGATCTATATAAAGATATATTAATTACCTAAATCAGTGCAATCTTTGACGATCTTTTGACATTTTAGTATCTTCTCATCATTCAAAAGAACTTTTGCGCAATATTGATCTAGACTACTTTTAGACAGTGTGCCTTCTGGAGTGATCTAGAATTGATATAAGAGTTAAAAACTTACTCTGTACTTGTTCGAAAAGAATTAAAAAGACAAATTCACAGAAAAATCTATTCAGAAATCAAAATAGTATAAGTTAATTTATTGTATGTTATACTGTATTTTACGATTCCACAATATTTCATGCTTTTATTTGAGTAGTAATTTATTTGAGTAATAATTAAATTTAAATTATTTAATAAAATAAAATAAAGTAATTATTATTTGTACTTTTGCAATTGAAGATTGTGTTACTTTATTTCACATTATAATTACCAAGATCTTTAATTCACTTAAATATTTATGTAAAAAAATATATAATTAAATGTTCTTTTATAGACTCATATATATAAGTAAAGCACGTACTATACCATCTTTCTTTAATGCGCAAATGTTAGCATTGACCACGTCATCGTATTTATTTTCTACAACATATAAAAACATACAATATTTATTGATTAGGTTGGAGCTAAAATAATATTGATTGCTTTTTGTGTGGTAATTTCTTAAAAGTACTTCGAATTAATGAATACTGCACTGTATATGCTACAATTTACTGCTATTATGTAAAGTAACATAATCTTAGAATTATTAACTAAGTTACATATAATGTTCAGCACTTACTCGGGAGAATTTGAGAAAAGTTAAGTTTCGTAATGGGAATTACAGTTTTGTTTAACATTATATTTTTGAGACAGCTTTCTATGCTGTTATAATATGCTGCAGGTCGCTTTATCGGAACTGCGTAAGCATAAATGGCTATCTGAAATTAATGAAAGAATTGCACACAAACAATGTACTCACAAAAAAATAAAAGCATATTATTACTAGTATTACGATACATATGCTATGCACGTAAAGATAAGTACTATTACATTGCGCCGAGTTTTGAAACTAAGTAAATGTGATCAGATTTTGTCAGATCCAAAATGTGATTCATATGTGATCTGATCTAATTTAATTCGAAATTCAGATATAAGTATAAAGTTTTACACATACACACACACACATACACACACATACATAAAAAATCATATATGATCATATGTTCTTAAGTTTTTTTTTATTAAATATAGTAGTTTTGTATTTTTTAAATATATTATACTTAATTGAATATTGAAACAATTAATAAATTAAATTGAATGATAGAGGTTCTCGTAATCACGTACTGCAAAACACCCTGTAAACGCTTTACACTGCACATTCCAACTCATACTTTAATAAGTTAATTTCATATTTACTGTTAGTATTACTTTGTGGTGACTCATAACACAATGTAGAAATATCAAGTTAGTAAAGTAACATCTGCACGGATATGTGACGGAAACAAGAATTGTGTAATGATAGCAAAACTTTATAGATAAATTGAATGAAAAACTGTAGAGATGAAAATATACTAGCAAATGTGTTTAAAACAGATTTAAAAATATTAATTTTTACAATGTTTATAGATTTATATACTCACAAAGACGCAAAACATAAATACGATAGCCTTCATTTTGGTGTTTTTCGATTAGTTTATAGTACCTGTTCAATGCAACAACTCAAGCAACACTACGTGGAACATGAAAATCTCCATAACATTTATACGTAAAAAAATGAGTTATGTAATAATAACAATGACGCAAACAGTGAAAAGACAAATGATGTATGTATTACTGACATAAAGTGAAAGAAAACAATGATGTGCATATGTGTTACTAATAATGCTGAAATGTAACAAAATGATCGATGTGTTAGTGATAAAACAGTAATTGTTGTTAAAAATAGACGTTTTATCTTATTTTTAAGATTTGGTATCATATGTGATTAACTAATGTTGTATATTGGTAATGTCGCGCTTTTCCTAATTTCCTTATACTCGAGGTGCGGCGCGAGATGATTGAGAGGTGACGGATGCAAAGCGCGACGGCTGGATTATTTGCTGCCCCGGTTGTTGTTGATAACGAGGCGTAGGGTAGTGAAAAAACGTGTACAAACCTGTGTACTTATTTTTTATAATAACTTGGTGCCGCTCACTTCCTTCACAAGCAAACATTCCATTTTCTTACTATTTTCTTTTATAATATGTAGTCGTCAAAAAAACTTATAACAATCCGATAGATATACTTTATTTTCCTCATCACTACAAATTATATCAAATCCACGTTTGGATAAAATACTATATAAATACATAGATAAGCAACTTTTATCCTAACATTATTTTGAAGATTTTATATTATATCAAACGTAGAACTTATACATCAATTTTAATGACTAAACCGATCGTGTTGGTCTCAATCAATCGGGGTAAAACGAAAGTATAGAGCAGAGTATTCGTATATGTTTTTGTATATTTTTTCTGAAAAGAGATATTTTAATATAAAGTTTTGAATGCGGAAAAACCATTCACAAACATCGTATAGAGTATACATGTCAGTGGGAAAGAAAATGTACTTTTCACGTGATTTTTACTAGATGCCTGTACGATCGCGCTGTTCTAATTATTATTTTGCATTTTATTAAGGTTTATGAGATTGAATGTGTTGAAGTATTGTGAAACTAAGAAGACAACATATATGAGTACCTGTATCAAAATAATATGTATTCTTATAAGAATAATATAAGTAAAAGTACTAGAAGATATTTGCTTATAAATTAAATAATACTATGTTTCCATCATTACACATTCTTGATCACAAACATTCTATTTAAACTATCAACTGATATAAGTCTTCTATTTAAACTATCAAATGATATAAGTCTTATTTTGTAAAATTTAAGTAACCTTAAAAGATAATTCTATTGATACACGCGATACAATGATAAAACAAAATTAACGTTTTCGTGAAAATGCGCAAAATTGTGCTTGTGATAAATTACAGTCATTTTTATATTTTTTGCACGTGTACTTATTTATGTTGTTGATTACATCATGGGAAGTACAAATAAAAACATGTTTTTAAGTGAACAAAGGAAATAGTTTTTTATTATTTAATTACACAAAAGAAATACAATGATGCCAGTAAAAGATAACACTGGATGTAAAAGATAAACACTGGATGTAAGTGCAAAATGTGTGTAGCGCGAATTAAATACACATAATTTAAATTAAATTTTATTCGAAACTCTACATTTAACGTTTGCTTTTTATTTTATGTACAGAAAAAAATCCTCTTTATCTTCGTAAGTTGTGAAAAAAATGTTTTTGGCAACAGGTGATTGAAATTCAGGTTTTACAATTTATAATTACTACAAAATTTAAGCTGGTAAGTTTCTAAATAATAACGCGAAAACGGTCCTGAGAGTCTTATGCTGAATGTTTGTTGTGGAATAAATAAATATATATATATATATAGTTATGTTTCCTTTCATGTAAAATGTGAGTTTAAATTGGAATATATATTTCTTCCGCAACAAACATTTAGTGTAAGGCTCTTATGATCGTTTAAATGTCGCGTTGTTAGTTATATAATTTAGTGTATAAAATTCAGTAAGTTTTACTTTCAATAGTTCTTTTTGCTTCAAGTAAGTAATGTTATGTAAAAACAATTTGGTGATATTTTTAGGAAAATAAAATTTGTTGTACGGATTTGTTGGTATATCGGCTAACTAGTACTTAATAAATATAATAAATAAGCATACTAAACGTAATATATACATGATATATAAGTATATACATAATAAGTAATAAAGTAATTTTACATATATATATATATATGTTTAGGAAAACACAAAAACTACTATTCATACAGATATTATTTCATATATTTGATGACTACTTATACATTGTTGTTAATTTTATTAAAACAGTTATCACATATAATCATCTTACCCAACACTTCTAATACCATTTACTTCTAATAAATGCTATTTACACAGTTTACTTTAATATACTCCATTCTGTATCTATAATTGTATTGAAAAGTCGAGAAGCGATAATATATTATTGTTTATTCCACACTCTACAGCTGGTTTTATCACCTCAGAAGTACATTCTGGACCACCACATACTGCAACAAAGAACAAGAAAAAATTGTATAAAACTATGTGTGTGTGTGTGTCAAAAACAGATATAACTAATAAGATATCGTACATCTAACAAACTCTCACATTGATATATATTTAAATATTAATAAATAGTAAAAACAATACAAATTTTATATTAAACAAATTAATACACATTTTAAAAAAACATAGATTTTCTCAAAGTAGGTAAAAATATTAAGATCTGTATAGATATATATTGATTATCTAAATTAGTGCAATCTTTGACGATCTTTTGACATTTTAGTATACTCTCATAATTCAAAAGAACTTGAACGCAATATTGATCTAGACTACTTTTAGAAGGTGCGCCTTCTAGAGTGATCTAGAATTGATATAAGAGTTAAAAACTTACTCTGTACTTGTTCGAAAAGAATTAAACAGATAAACTTACAGAAAAAAATCTATTCAGAAATCAAAATGGTATAATTTAATTTGTTGTACGTTATAATGTCTTACGAAAATAAAATGTTTCATGTTTTTATTTAATTAGTTATGTATTTGAATAGTAACTTAAATTATTTGTACTTTTGCAATTAAAGATTGTGTTAATCTATTTCACATTAAAATTACCGAAATCTTTTATTATCTTAAATGATTATGTAACAAAATATATAATTAAATAGTCTTTTATAAACTCGGATATAAGTAAGGCACGCACCACACCATCTTTCTTTAAGGACATTTTCCGACTACGATAGTTGGCAACCTAAATACAGTGGTTAGCAACCTAAAACATCTCTTTTCATGAGTAAGTTTGTACTGCTGTAACAAAGTTAAGTTGAGCTATTCAGCACTGCTAAGACCCGCTTACTCTGCGCAGAAGTTCAAAAATAGCTGCAGTACACAGCGCACATAAATCCAGCAAAACAAAAAAAAAACCAAAAAAAAGAACAAAAAAAAGCTACAGTTTGAAAACGAAGGTTGCTTGCCATATTATACAAAATCGTATTTTAATTAAGACACTCTCCGCTACCACATACTTGTTTTTTAAAAAAATCCTACAAAAATTGTCAGTAACTTTAAAAACCCCACTTCACAAAGGCTCAGCATAGGAAATCCATGTTAAAAATTGAAACTTAAATCTTCCATATTTTGGAATTTAACATTGCTACCCCTATTATCCAAAAAGGCTACGTATAAATAAGATCATAAACTATGTATATCGCAAATTTAAAGAAAATCCTAGGAAAAGCAATAATTTGGAGAACGTCCTTAATGCGCAAACAGTAGCATTGACCAAGTCATCATATTCATTTTCTACAACACATAAAAGCATATAATACTTAATGATTAGGTTAAAGATAAAATAATACTGATTGCTCTTTGTGTGTAAATCTATTGAAAGTACTTTGAATTACTGAAAACTGCATTGTATATGGTATAATTTAGTATTATTATATACAGTAATACTATATACAATACTGATCTTAGAAGTATTAACTATAAGTCATATATAATGTTCAGCACTTACTCGAGATGGTTTGAGAAACGTTAAGAAGAAGATCTTAAGAGAAATTACATTTTTGTTTGACGTAATACTTTTGAAACAGGCTTCTACGCTGTCATAATATTCTGTAGGTCGCTTGGTCGACAGTGCGTAAGCGTAAATGGCCATCTGAAATTAAAGAAAGAATTGCACACAAACAATGTATTCACAAAAAAATAAAAGCATATTATCACTATTATTACGATACATATATTATGCACGTAAAAATACGTACAATCACATTACGCCGAGTTGTGAAACTAAGTAGATGTGATCAGATTTTTTCAGATCCAAAATGTGATTTATATGTGATCTGATCTAATTTAATTCAAAATTCAGATATGAGTATAAAGTTTTATACATACACACACACACACACACATACATAAAAAATCATATATGATTATATGTTTCTAAGTTTTTTTTTATTAAATATAGTATTCTTGTATTTTTTAAATATATTATACTTAATTGAATATTGAAACAATTAATAAATTAAATTGAATGATAGAGGTTCTCGAAATCGTATTGCAAAACACCCTGTAAACGCTTTACACTGCACATTCCAAATTATACTTTAATAAGTTAATTTCATATCTACAGTTAGTACTACTTTGTGGTGACTCATAACACAATGTAGAAATATCAAGTTAGTAAAGTAACATCTGCACGGATATATGACGGAAACAAGAATTGCGTAATGATAGCAAAACTTTATAGATAAATTGAATGAAAAACTGTAAAGATGAAAATATACTAGCAAATGTGTTTAAAACAGATTTAAAAATATTAATTTTTACAATGTTTATAGATTTACATACTCACAAAGACTCAAAACATAAATACGATAGCCTTCATTTTGGTGCTTTTCGATTAGTTTATAGTACCTGTTCAATGCAACAACTCAAGCAACACTACGTGGAACATAAAAATCTCGATAGTGTTTTTATGCAAAAAATGATATATGTGTTACTGACAATGACGCAAAAAATAAAAAAACAAATGATGTACGTGTTACTAATAATGATGTATGAAGTGAAAAAAACCATCATGTACAATACTCTCTATAAGTTTGAAAACACATTCTAACAATGTGCAATATAAGGAAAATACATATCAAATCGAATATATTTTGGTTTGTAAGTACTTACTTAACTGAAAAATACAAAATTAAGTTATGCGCATACATACATTATTCAACAGACTATTAAAATATGAAATTTTAATTAAAATTTAAGCTTCCTAAAGTAACCATTCTTCGTTTTTAATGATTGTCTTGCATACTCTTGGCATGCGGTAGATCAAATTTTGTAGAGATCCAGTCGAGATACGTTTTTATTCTTGCTGGCGAATATTCTAAAAGTGCGTTTCACCCGTAATTCACTCTTTGTGGATCCTTTTGTCTAGCTCGTCCTATAATAGTTCTATTGAGTTACAATCTGGAAACTGGGGCGGTCATTTTTTGAGTTTTAGAATTTTCTTCTCCTTTAGTGACTGCAAATAGTTGTTGCAAAGGTGCGATGTACGTTTCGTGTTGTTGTTTTGTTGTAATATGATCTCCTTGATCTCAATCAGACGTAAACCAGGTGCAGAAACGGATTTAGGCATGGTCTTTATGAGCTGTAGGGCCCCCTTCAATCAAAGGATTTCTTCGTGGTCACAAAAATAAACGGTAAAACCAAACATTTTGTTTTTGCAATAAAACTAATTCCAAATACTGGCACAGGTAAACAGTGTTACCCCAAGACCACCAAAGTTAACGGTCCGCCTCTGACCAGGTGTCTTGGCGTATCGCTGCAGGATGCTGTGATAATATTCAATTTTCATTGTTCCCCCTATTTTCACAAAATCTCCAATCTTAGCCTTTCTAAAACATTCTCAGTCTATCACAGCGTCACCTTTATGCTTTATAGTTGGTGCTTTTCATTGAAGATTTATGTGTTGCACAAGCAAACGTACAGCTTGACGGCGCTTACTTCTAATTATTTCGACCTTCGAATTATTTCTAAATAAGAATTTTCCAGTTCTTTTCTGTTCAGGCTTAAACTTTCTTAGCCCATTAAATCTTTTTTTCTTATTAATAGTCGTTATAGCGGTTCCTTTGCACCTACGTACTATTTAAGATTCTTAGCTACCAAGCGCCTCTTCACCGATCATTGACATTGTTGATCTCAGTGAGGTTTTCCAGGATTTCTTAACTTCACCGGTCAAATCACAAACGGTTTTGAATCTGTCACGCTTACTTGTTGCCATCAAGAACTTGTCTTCACGTTGTAACGCCTGCTTAAGCGCTGCGGAGCGAAACCCATTAATATACGAGTCTGTGTCTCAATACTGAAAGGTCTTGAAAACTTCACTGACAAACCACTTCACTCTCTGTAATATTTGCCGGATACTATATTCTTCTTCTCGCAAAGTTATGATCTTAATTCGCGATTCATAAAAAATCTGACGCGTCAGAATGATCGAAAGCTATTTTCGATCATTGTTGTAGGTGTTACAATTATGCGGACTCTGAAATCAACCTTCGACTCAAATAACTTACCGCTTTTACAGAAATTGTAATTTAACTACATTTAAACGAAATACTGTTTTTCTGATATGTATTTACAACGCACGCAAGCATCATGTGGTAAAACAAGTAACAGTAAACAAGCGATAAATCAGCGCTTTGATGTCACGAAATAATTGTTCGATATGATTTCATATAGACAAAACTTATAAATGTTTTAAAAACAAAATGTTTATCAACAGGAATCAAATAAGGCCGATACGAGCCATTCGCAGGATGTTTGTGCGGAAACTATGCGTGTACATATATATATATATATATAAATGTAACGAATTTTACTTGTAAATTTTTTACAAGTAGTTTTTGAATTAAAATCTCAATAATTCGCAATATTTTAAAAATTAGTTAGGGGGGTATCCGGGGTTTTCCATATGTGAGATGCAAATCTAGCATCCCGTATGATTTTAAGAATTGAGATTTCAATTCAAAAAATACTTGTAAAAAATTTACAAGTAAAATTCGTTACATTTATAAATATATATATATATATATATATGTACACATAGTTTCCGCACAAACATCCTGCGAATGGCTCGTATCGGCCTTATTTGATTCCTGTTAACAATTTCACGAGCGTCAAGTCTTTTTAAAATGTTTATCGTTATTTAAACGTATTACAAATCGAACGTTTTACAAACCGAAAACATGCACCAATCGCTGTCACATCATTGTTGTTGCCTGTAAAACGCAAAGTATTTCCAAAATTATGGGAGATACCGTATGTGTTACTGATAATGCTGAAATGTAACAAAATGATCGATGTGTTAGTGATAAAACAGTAATTGTTGTTAAAAATAGACGTTTTATCTTATTTTTAAGATTTGGTATCATATGTGATTAACTAATGTTGTGTATTGGTAATGTCGCGCTTTTCCTAATTTCCTTATACTCGAGGTGCGGCGCGAGATGATTGAGAGATGACGGATGCAAAGCGCGACGGCTGGATTATTTGCTGCCCCGGTTGTTGTTGATCACGAGGCGTAGGGTAGTGAAGAAACGTGTACAAAATCCTGTGTATTTATTCTTTATAATAAATTGGTGCCGCTTACTTTTTTTCTTCAATTTACAAGCAAACATACCAAAGTACATTTTCTTTTTTAATATATAGTTCTTAAAAAAAAGTTATAACAATCCGATAGATATATTTTATTTTCTTAATCACTACAAATTATATCAAATCCACTTTTGAATGAGATACTTTGTAGATACATAGATAAGCAACTTTTATCCTAACATTATTTTGTAACTTTTCTGTTATACTAAGCGTAGAACTCGTAGAATCAATTTTAATGACCAAACCGATCGACTTGTGTTGGTCTCACTTAATCGGACAAAAACAAAAGTATAGAGCAAAATATTTGTTTATTTTTATATACATTCTCTCTGAACAGAGATATTTCGATGTAAAAGTTCTGAATGCGGAAAAACCATTTCAGAAACGTCGTATAAAGTAAATATGTCAATGGACGAAAAGATGGACTTTTTATATGATTGCTACTAGATGGCTATACGGACGCGCTGTTCTAATTATTATCTTGCATTTCATTAAGATTTATGATATTGAATGTGTTGAAGTATTGTGAAACTAAGAAGACAACGTATATGGGTACTTGTATCAAAATAATATGTATTCTTATAAGAATAATATAAGTAAAAGTACCACAGAATATATCTGTTTATAAATTAAATAATACTATGTTTTCCTTATTACACATTCTCGATCGCAAACATTCTATTTAAAGTATCAACTGATGATATAAGTCTTATTTTGTAAAACTTACACTTAACCTTAAAATAGAAGTCTATTGGCACACGCGATACGCGATGATAAAATAAAATTAATGTTTTTGTGCAAATGCGCAAAATTGTGCTTGTGATAAGTTACAGTCATCTTCATATTTTTTTGAACATGTACTTATTTATGTCGTTGCTTACGTCATGGTAGTTACAGATAAAAACATGTTTTTAAGTGAGCAAAAGAAATATTTTTTTATTATTTAATTATACAAGAGAAATACAATAATGCCAGTAACAGACAACTACTGGATGCAAATGCGAAATGTTTTGTAGCGCGTATTTAATACACATAATTCAAATTAAATTCACTTCAAAACTTTACATCCAACGCTTGCTTTTTATTTCATATACAGAAAAGGTTTCTTTATCTTCGTTGTTTGTGAAAAAAGTGTTTTTGGCAACAGATAATTGAAATTCAGGTTTTACAATTTACAAGTACTAAAAAGTTTAGGCTGTTAAGTTTCTAACTAATAACGCAAAATTTAAACGGTCATGAGAGTCTTATGCTAAATGTTTGTTGTGGAATAAATAAATAAATAAATATATATATATATATATATATATATATATATATATAGGGTGTCCGACAATTACTTTAAAATCT